AGGCACAGTTGAGAAGATTAAAATTAGCTAATCCACATAAATAATTTAAACTGTTTTGCAAAAAGTAAATAAATCCTCAGTAAATGTCAGTTGTGATGTGAGGATGATGATAATGATTGATGATGTAATTACTGATTACTTACACAGAAAGATTACAACTGTATAAAAACTGAACTGACAATTTTTATTTTAAAATATACTTTAAGGTCTCCATATACTTAAGAACATATACTTTAGATATGAAATTTCAAGATGGCTATTCTATATTGCTTTAATGCAAGTTCACTTTGAACCTATTCAGATGTGATCACAGTAACCAGACTTTGCCTCAAAATTTCAATTAAAAAAAAAATCTACCTGTGGATAAAAATACTTAAAAAAGCTTAACATGATAATATAGGTCCTTCTCTCTCAGAAGTACATTAAAATAAATTTACTTACTGTACATACATAAAAGCTTAAACAATATCAGCTGTTTTATTAAAATGTTTTACATGGGGGAAAAAAATTAGAATTCCTGACATTTTAACATGGTATTACTCTTCATCAGCCATGAACCGAAATCTCAGGGTGAGAAAAGGGCCAGACCAATGCTGAAAGGTTTCAAATATCAAACTATACTATTATGTCAGTGCCCTAAGATCAATTAGCACCTTTCAATGACAGAAAAGGTTACAGTGAGACTCAGAGGTACACACTCTGCAACTGTTTTAAACCACCATGTAAATGTGGTTTTGATAACTCGAAATGGTTTCTATTTTTAAATTCATCTGTTTCATCGCTTCTTCTGGAAGAAAGAAAAGGAGCTAGGGGGGTAAGGATAGTGGTATTTATTTTCAGTACCACTCTCCTAGTAGAAACCTGGATGGGACATGGTAAGAATCAGAAACTTCACCAAGGCATATCCTAATGTGCAGAGCCACAAGCAATATTAGGTGACAGTAATGTTTACAAAGTCTTCGGACCTCTTAAAAGCAATCAGAGTTGCTTATACTACTTCGGAATATGTGATTCTTGTTTATTTCTTCCACTCAAGTTCAAACTAAGTGAAGCCAAGTTCACTCCATGTACAACTTAATATTCAGTGTCTCCCACGATAAAATTCATCTAACTGCAAAATGCAGTCTCATGCTAACTGCAATGAAATACACCACTGCACCTCACCCATCTCTAGAACGAGTGCCTGAAAGAGCATGTCATTTCTTAGTTCACCGGGAAAAATTCATGAGAGGAGCAGGTACACTGAAAGTCATCCTATCCCTCCTGGTGTGGATTGCATTCACCCAGTAACTGTTGTAATAAAATCCTCCAACGGTATTTCTGAATACAATTAGTTTAAGATACTCTACAGGGAGACACATTATAAGAGTTTAGAATATGTAAGAATAATATCTACTTGAAAAAGAAACTGTCATGATTAATTCTCACTGAAAAAATAACAAGGTGTTTCATAGATGTTTTGTTCAGCTCTTCAGTGAGGGGATTCAGAACATCTACTTTTGATAACACACTCTTCTGTTTGTTTCTTAGATGAGTGATCTGAAATATTTACAACGAGACAGTACCTAATTTTAGGTTTTAAGTGCTTTAACAGCTCCATGAAATATGACCAGCAGCTGCAATACAGAACTATGGTGAATAAACTTCTTGCAAAGGGGGGCCTGTTTTTACTGAATGTTCAGTGTTCCTGCATTTACCTAACAGAGGGGAAAAAAGATAATGAAAAATATAATAAATACTTGCACTCTTAAATTACTTAACATTTCACTAAGTCTTGAAAAGGATTATCTCCCCTCTTCTTGAATTCTGTATAAAAAGTGTGAGTTTCCACTGGGTGAAATAAGTATAATTTTATTATTTGTGAGTTAGAATGTGAACTTTCCAACATCCTAACTTTTCATAACAGTAGTCATGGTTTTTCTATCATTCTACTTTTCTAAAACTTCAGGATAATTTAATTTTAGTGCATAAAATTTTTTAAAATGAAATACCAAGCCACATAAATATATTTTTAGACATGGCATCAGTCATTTAGAGCTTGCAACAGAGATTGAAAACATGAAATGGGACACCTTATTTCCCGTGGCTATGTAAAATTTATTTACACCCCAAATCATAATATAAATAAAAAGAAAACTCTCAGAAATGGAGGTCTTATTTTTCTTTTCTGTTTAATTCAAAGAGGTTTTTGAAAGAAAAAAATAAATTACAGCAAAATGGCAACCTACTGATCCACCCTCAAAAAAGAAACTTTCATGAAGAGACAATTTTTTTCAACTGCTTGTACAAATCCTCTAGAATGCAGCATCTGTACTTCTTAATAAGAGTAATGATTATTTTTATACAAATTTCTTTTTATACAAATCTTAGGGTTTTTTTAAATTTTTAAACTTGAACATAAACTTAAATATTCTCTAAATATATAAAAAAAGCTTTTCATTCTGTAAAGAAGAAATTAAGTCTCTAATATCAGTAAACTACTTATTCATTAAAAAAGAATAATCAAGTAAATCTTTTAATTTCAGTTATAATCGTGAAACAACCTCTAATTACGGTGGCCTTAGGTTGATGCATACTATTTTCAGATAATTGGCAAAGGAAAACTGGCTTTTGAAAACCTATTGATTTTAGACCTTTACCTATTATGAAAGGCATGGATATATCCTTAATAATCAGAAAAAAAGGAACAGTTTTCAGACAATCTAATTATGTTACTTTCAAAGCTATAACTGTCAAGGGTTTTAACTGTCTTCTACAGCCATTTCAAAAAAAAAAACGGTTTAACTCTGAATGGCTTACAACTTTTAATGAGGCAGAACAAACTATTTTTATGGTTTATAATAACAGTAAAAGTGAGTGTAGTTGTATCTGCATCTGGTATTGTTGCCATAAAGATCAGATTCTGGCAGTCTAGCTCTACACAAAATAGTTTCCCTCTTCTTACTACTGCTATCTATTTCTTGCGATAATGTTATACCACACCCTACTATGTACCAAATATTTTGTTTTAGGATTCTCTCCCGGCCCCACCTCCTTCCTAGCTTTTGCTTCTTCAGCTATAAACTGGCCAGAAATATTTAAAAAGAAAAAAAGTTGGGACGGGGGAGGGCAATGTTTCTGCTTAAAACCTAATTTTACCCGTGAAAGGTTACATCCCTGTCCTGAGGAGGTTTTTAAAATAAAACCCAAAACAACTCAACAGACCAAAAAAAAAAAAAAAACCATCCTCAACTTTCAAGACTGTCAGTCACCTACGTGTAAATCAAACTTCAGGAGCTGTAGAAGGGGAGCCTGCGGTGCTTAAATGCTCCTAAGACTCCCACCTAAGTCCAGAAGAAGGAGCGCCCGCTGAAACTGACACGCCCGAGGGTGCAAAAAGTGGCCGCAGAGGAGAAGAGGAACAAAATGCCATATTCGAGAAGATATGTTTCGCTCCATCAATTACGTTGATCCCAGGGTGCCAAGCCAAAACCGGTAAGGGAGAAAGAAAACTGTTAAGTATGAGCTCTTAATGTGAAACCTAACCTGTTGGTTCTCTTAGGTATCAGATTTTGGAAGTGTCTGTAATGACAGCCAGGAAAGCAAATTAATGGCCAACGGCCCACTGGGTTTGAACACAAGACTCCTGTTACCTCCTCACAGATCAAGTACACAACACACACGCACACGGAGGTGCTCCACGTGGAACTGCTCTGAAACCAAAACACACGCCCCGTCGCTATTCTGCACCTTGGCAGAAAGGTCTGAGGGACCTGCACCTTCCTCCACTGCCCTCAGATTAGGATTCATGAATGACTCTCTGCCCGCTGGGCAGTGCAGGGCACAGACGCCGGCGGCGAGGGGAGAGAAGATCGACTCCAAACGACAGCCTCCCACCCACGCGCTCACCTCAAACACAAACCCCATTAGCTTTCAAAGGAAGGGGAAAGAGAGGTGGTGGTGAGTGGAGACGGTGCCGCCCCAACTAGGAAAGGGATGACAAAAATTAAGCTGCGCTCTCCGGTTTCGCCACCGCTCAGGCGCGGCACTCGGTCGGCAAATTCCCTAATGGCTCCAAGCTGTTCCGAACACTGTTTACAAAAGAAAGAAACATCTTGAAAGTGCTACTAAACGAAAGTTCTGGCTGCTGTGCGGCGCAAAATAAAACAAGCACACACACACGATCTACTTCCAAATCTCGCATAACAACGCTGAAGCAGCGAGCCGTTTCAAGTCCCGCAGCCGCCCAGACACCGCAGGCTTTGGAACGAGTAAACCTGCTCCCCACGGCCCCGGCCAGGTCCCTCCGTTTGGAGAAGTTATCATTCCTCCACGGCATCCGCGCCCCGGGCCAATGAACGCGAGTCCTCTGAAAAGGCGCCTCTCATTTCACAGACCCTGGCAAAAGGCAGGAGACATTCGGCCCACGCCACATAACTTTTAAAGTGGGACGGCCGCAGCTGAACAGCCCGGTTGGTGCCTCGAGATGAGAACACAAAGCATTAAACGTACACACGCACCCAGCACCGTGAAAACCCCAGGCGCCTGGGGCCCTCCATGGGACCCGGGTCAGCATCCTTTAGTCTGACTTATCTAGGGCGTCAAGGCAAAGTAACAAATGTCACAAGAAGGACGCAGGGGAGACGCAGGGGCTCGCGCCTCTGCAAGGCGGGGACGGAGTGCAGGTATGGAGCGGTGCAGCCTCTTCCGCGAGGGCTCCGCGGGGAAAGAAAGGCTCGGCAGGGACCTTCGGGGCGCCAGGGCGTCCTCCAGGGCAGAACACATCGCGGCACTCAGAGCGGCCCGGGCCCTTGGGCAGGGGGCATTCCGCAACGAAGCGCCCTCAGAGACCCCGGCCCCCACACACCTCCTCGCAGTGCGCCCACTGTCCCCAGCGCTTGACGCCCCCGGAGGAGCTGCGCGCACTTTCCGGAGAGAGTTTGCGGGATCCCTGAAACCTGGAGCCCGCGGGCCCCGGAACGGGGCGGGGAGGAGGGGGCGTCGGAAGAAGAGGCACTCACCTCCTGCCGCCCGGACCGTCTCGGGATCCCAGATTCAAGTGTCTCCCCCAGCAGCGGATCCGTGCGTCCGTATTTAGGTACTTATTCTCGTGCCTTCCAGTGTTGAAGTTTCCCCTGAACGCTGTGCCTCTGGTGAAAAGAGGACATCCCCTTCGGCCACCCCCCAACAAACAGCTTACACCAGTGGGGGAGAGACGGGGCGGGGGGAGAAGCCGGCTACGAGGGGGAGGAGGAAAGGAGAGGAGCCAAAACTCCGGATCGACGACAGAGGAAAAAAAAAAAAAAAAAGCGCGCGCCCAGCCACCGCGGTCCTCACTGCCCGGCTCTTCCCCAAGCTCTTTCCCGCTCCGAAAGGGGAGCGACAACTTCACGCGGCCCGGCTCGAAGTTTTGCGCGGAAGCCGGGAGCGGCAGAGCGTGAGCCTCGCCGCGGGCAGCCTCGCACTTGCGCGCGGGGCGGGGGCGGGGGACGCCGGCGCCCGCGGCCACTGGAGGCCGCCGGGGGGGGCCCCCCCCGGGGCAGGCAGCGGGGGGCGGCGGCGCGCGGGGAAGCGACTCCTTTTTATTCGACCTGGAGCGATTGCCTGTTGTCATCGTTTGCGGTCCCGCGTGGGGACCGCTCGGGGCCCTGGGCGTCCCCAGTGGCGCCGCGGTGATCTCTGCGCCCTCCGCGCCGCCCCCACCCCGCCCCCACTGGCCTGGCGCCGGCCGCTGCCACCTCCCGGCGGAGGGGAGGGACCCGCGGCCGCACTCCCCTCCCCGGACCAGGGAACGGCTCAGTCCCCACCTGCTTCGGCCCGGCAGCCCCCAAGCTGTCTGTAACTCGGTCGCTACCAGATCCCTGGGTGTCGGCCACTGCGGGCTCCCTGCGAGACTCCTTTCCACTTACCCCAAGGGAGGAGAGAGGAGGGACTTCTCCTACTTGCAACCAAGTAAAGTAAAATCCACCCCACGTTGGACTGGGGAGCTTTCTCTGAAGGAAGGAAATACCCTTTTCGGTGAAGATGTATGCGAGGCACGAGTAAGCAGTCTGGGGATAGGTTGTGCTCGAAGGGCCTGGGCCCCTTCCAGCGCTGGACGTAGGTATAGGCATCCCTCCCAGACGCCCAAAGGTCGGGCTGCGACGACCAACTTCCAAGGCAGCGTCAGAGCTTCCCCAGGCACATTGCTGAAGGGACATTTCATGCGTAAGCCTTCTGCGCATGCAGTATGCACCCACATAGGATCTAATATTCTACACGCACACACGTGGATATCACAATCAGAGATGTGAGCAAAGTTGGCAATAAACAATACATACATTTTGTATCCATTTAATCACCTCTTAGCAAAACCTATTATCAATGTTAGGAATACCTTTTTTAATTGTCGTTGATTATAAGTGTTCTAATTTATTGAGGATTTACTGAGTGTCAGTCATTACACTGGTCACTTATGGTACATGTGAGTTCATGTAATTTTCACAACTCTATGGTGGTTATTTAATCCCGTACAAGAGATAAGGAAACTGAGGCCCAAAGAAACCTAAGGGATGTTCCCCAAGGTAAACCCAGTGGTCTCAAAACACAAAGCTTATGATTCAACAAGCAGCCACTTATACTGCCTTAGATGTGACCTGAGAGATTACAAGTTAACTAGTAGAAATTACTCCCAAAGAAAATTTAGTTCTAATATATTAACAACTGAATTATATTCTGTACAAAATTTAGAAAAAAATTTCACCCTCTGCTAGTCTTAAGCAATGGAACACCAACACTGTCAAGTTCAAACACAAAAACAAGTATTGAATACTTATAGTTTCAACTTAGTTTTGGATTAGTGGGGCATTATCTACAATTATTAATAGGCAATGGGAAAGGTGAGGTTGTAAATTTAAACTGATAAACGTGCTCACTGTTGTTCTCATCACTCACTGGGTGTTCTTTTCTGCAGATTTATTTGGGAGGGCTTAGGCACCGCCAGGCATGTTTCCTCTTCTGACGCTCAAGGTACAAAGGGTTCTGGCAGTGGGTTTGGCGCAAAGGGGATTTGGACCATGATCTAGAGCCACATTCCGGCCTGAAGAGGATGCCAGTTATTATACACTTAACAGGGAAATATAAATGGGCAGATTTAATTAACTTTGCAGGTCTTATTTTCCCCATTTTACAGATGAGAAAACTAAGGGCTTAGAATTTTTAGCAAATTGCTAATAAATGGCAGACCTAAGATTCAAACAGCTGCTAGCCACTGTCATGCTATTATTATTAGTGGTAGTAGTGAGAAAAATAGTAATTATTTTAGTACAGTTTATATGTTACAGGTAAAGTATGCAATTTAAGTGTTTTGTCAATCATTCACTGTCTAGGAATGCTCAGTGGCTATAGTAATTATCATGTAAAAATTAAGTACAATGCTGAATGTAATACTCTCCTCATAATGCTACAGATTTTTAAATTTCGTTTTGGTATGAAACATTATGTGTTAGTTTGACCTCTAATGAAAAGTGAGAAGATGTATAATTTGGATAAAATAAAAATTCATACTTTAGTGCAGCATATTGTTCACACAGTCTTTTTGCATGTTTCTTTACCCCCTTCAAAAATTATATTTTCAGCAATACTGATCTTGCTTTCAAGTTACTTTTCTCTCACGTAATTTTTTATAATCTACATAAGAATATGTTTACAGAAGTTATCTCCTCCCCAAAAAAAGAGAATCACATCACAACATCAGTTAACTTCTTATTACTACTTTCAAATCCAGTTACATAGCCTTAAATAAACATATATTACATAGATGCCACTAGGACTGATATAAAATCTCACATTTTCAGTCCACCTTTGAAATAAGTTGAGCACAAGAAATTTAAGAATTTTAAGGTTGTATAGGCAAAAATGTATTGCATATTTAGACAAGGCATTATTTCCAGCATTTCTACTGAATACCACTTTTATAATTATTGCCATATCACCTTTAATATTATTGACTCAATATTATTCTTTAAACAAGCTATTTTTATTATATAATTTTACATGATAAAGGAAACTTTTTATCATCATCATAAATGGAAAACCAATATAATTTGCCACAAATAGAAGATGACCTTGCAAATAAGTCTTTATTATAGAAATAAAAATTATCTTGTACCACCTAAAATTATCTGACACACCAGTCTGAGAAACACTCACTTAAAGAATTATACTCCTTATGTCCCCTGGGCTTTCCAAAACAAATTTTCCAACCTTCCATTTCCATTACTGTAGAGAAATGTTGAGTCCAAAATTCTTTTAGGTATGGCATTTAAAATTATGGTATTAGTCAACTGTTGATTTCCGTGCCTAAAATATACTTGAAGTATCCGAAACTGAAGTGTCTTAAAATTAATTTAATTCTTTTTTGAATTTTATTTTTTTACACAGCAGGCTCTTATCAGTTATTTATTGTATCCATATTAGTGTATATATGTCAATCCCAATCTCCCAATTCATCCCACCACCACCACCCATCCCCGCTTTCCCCCCTTGGTGTCCATACAGTTGTTCTCTACATGTGTCTCTATTTCTGCCTTGCAAACTGGTTCATCTGTACCATTTTTCTAAACTTAATTTAATTTTTATTATCTTTCTTCCTAGTAAAATTCAAACAATTCATAAGCCCACAATCAAAAAGCAAATTACTCTCATGGGAGATCAGAGCAGCTACTCATTACCTTCTGCATTGTTACTCAACAAGCACTTAGTCTTAGGACTTAGCCACTGAAAAAGAAACTTAAACTGGTAACATCACGAAGTGGCAGCATCTATTGGCGCAGTCTGGTACTGCAACAAAGTTCTACAAGGCAATGAGAAGGAGAGGTGAAAGTAGATCAATGGAGAGGAGCTAAAGAGCCTGAAAGGATATGTAGGGAGGAAAATTCTGAAGTCAGAAATCTGCTGGAAAATTCTGGAAGTGATTCAGAAACACTAGCAGGTCCGATATGACATGAATCAGACCATCAGAATATCCATGAACGTTCAACTTCATCTAAGAAAGGACATTGGTTGTTGGGGGGAGAAAAAAAAATGTGACTTTATAGTGAAAATCAGTGGAAATAAAGGACTCACGTATTAGCAATTCCTTTAGCCAACCCCTCCTGCAGTTATCATCTACTATTTATTTTGAAAGTGTGCATGGCCCCTTTTTGGCATTGGTTAGTGTGTAAGTCAAACAAACGAAGCCCTCTAAGAGCTCACAATCCAAAACTCTATTTTTATTTTAATTTTATTTTAAAGTAACCTTAAGGGAAAACCTTTCCATCACTTTAGTAAGAGCAAACTTGAGGCTAAAAAATGGAATAAGACTATTACTGAACACAAGTTCATGTGCCCGACATCAAACTAACCAAAGCATCAGAGTTTGGAGTAGAGAAAGGGTTACTCCAGGGCCAAGCAAGGAGAAGGCGTGCTTTGGAACCTCAGGAAATGTTTTAGGAGACTGAATGAAGCCTGATTCCTACAAACAAGAAGCGGGGGACACGGAAAGGATTTGTACCCGGGAGTGCACCACAGGGTACTGCTCGGTCCTCAATCCTACATTCACCAAAAAAGAAGCCAGAAGACTGGATGCTTGTAGAAATAATCCTCAAATAGATCTCTTAAATTACTCATTTTTGGTACCTTCAAAGTCCAGCTGGAAGTATACACAATTCTTAAAAAATAAAGTCATTTGGTTGTCTCCCAATAAATTCTAAGCCCAACCCTTTGAGTTTTGGGAGAGTGGACTTTTAGAGGCCAGTATCAATATGAACTAGGTTTAACACTGTTTTCTCTACTACTCTGCCAATGACAGAGCAAATGAAGATAAAATATGATTGCCCAGGAATCTAAAGTGCTGTGCTGTTGGTTTTCTAAAAATCTATAAATAAACACACTTTCTGAGTAATTTTTGTGCAAACAGATCAAGCTTAAAAAGGTTTTCTACTGGTTAGTGAAAGTGAAGAAATCAGATCTGCGGGGGACCTGTTGGGTCATTCTCTTCTGCCCAGCTCTCTGCTAAACTTCCTCATTCTTGGCTGAGTCTCTAAAGAAAAGGAAATGCATACTCTCTGGGAGACAGCTTCATTATATTTACTCTTCAATTCTCTCTTGAAATTTTTTCTCAAGTCAAATCCTTTTAGTGCCATATTATGCGATCCTACTCTATCTTTCGTGTTTACACCCAACCTTCAGATGTTTATAAACAGATATCATGCCCACTTTTAGTCATCTGTTAGCCACGTTAAACAAATGTAAGGCCTTTTAATCTGATTTCAGTTCAGTCTCTCCAAGCCCTTAATCATTCTTATTGCTTGTCTCTGAACTATTTCCAGTTTCCTAGATGTTCATTTTTGTTAGGGGTATCCCACATTGAATGCGTTATTACAGGTGTGGTCTCATTAAC